ATCATCCATTTATATGTTGTTCCTGTGACTTCGAAAAAACCTAGTTTATGTAGAAGCAGTCTGACTTACCGAGTCGAATGCGTAACTGAAATTCAGGTAACATACCTCTACTGTTCTTACTTCATCTAACCTCGCAGTGATCTCGTCTTGATAGCATAACAGATTAGTCAAGCATGACCTATTTCTCACAAAGTCACGTTGAACGCCGTTAAGTAATGCATACTCTAGAAGTTGCGTACATACCTGAGTCCCGATGAGCTATTTCATGCACTCGCATAGAAAGCTNTAGTGCTGTGGGTTAGTTTAACTACCACCTTTATGTATCACCACCACAGCAGCAGATATCCAGTCGACCGGGAGCACGCCCACCTCCAGAAAATTTTGAAACACAATCCTCAAGGGGTATGCTTAATTTGGGTAAGTGGTATCACAATGGCAGGGGCCTTATTTACATCCGATTTCCCTAACACCTAAAGCAGCTGTACTGCAAATATCTGCAGCTCTCTTGTGCTCTATGGAAGAGAGGTCGGTGCTCCAGGTTCTAATGTCTGATTGCCCATCATATGAGCTGCAGCAAAATAGTTATCAAGTGCTATTGCCTTGCCTTGGTCGTCTGCTGCAACCGTGTTGTTTTCCGGAACCAATGCACCTATAGCATCCCTCAAGTTACGATTTTGCTTGAACATATCTGACAAACCTTTCGGTTTATGCTTGACAGTTTTCGCTAACTTTAGTTCATATTTTATTTTTTTCCACTGTCGTAAGACTGACTGTCGTATTCGTCTGAACTGTATAGTTTGTCCATGCCAGCTGGGTGCTGACATATCTATAGTGTCTCCAGCTTCTGTTTCTTTTTCTAAGTGCTCTCCTTATTGCACAAGAACATCATGGAGGCTTATTACAACCTTTCCCAAATTTAAGGGGCGCAACCTCCTCCTTGGGCTCCTGTAAGTTCATTTGCTCACATGCCAGGGAGTCTCCACTGTGATTTAATCACTTCTTGTTTCCCATTCTAGAGTTGTTGCTCTTGCCTACATGCTACTTGCATTCATTTTGCTGAAGTTCCTAACTTTTTGGTCAGGCGCTTTGGACTCCCTGGAGTTGAGGGTCACTTTTATCACTAGATGATCACTATTTCCGATAGGTGGATGATACATTCCCTTGGTATTTAGTGAACACAAATCTAGGGGCAATGGGTCTTGCTCAGTCCTGAATCTTGTGTTTTTCCTCACGTGTTGCAGTAGGGCTCTGAAGTGTATCCATCCCAGTAACATTTTCTTCAATGTACCCTCCGAGGAGTTCTCGGTAGTCCAATAGATGCCAGGTAGGTTGAAGTCCCAAGCAATTAACAGTTTCTGTTGAGCTTGTACTATTGCATCCAGCGCTCTAATAAGTTGCTCATCTTTGTCTATCGTGGATTTCGGACTCCTTTACACACTGGATACGGTGGCTCTATTTGTCCTGGAAAGTAGTGAAGTAGCACGCATTTGTATATTAGAAGCGCTAAGTTCCATGTCTAATTTCCTGTGGGTAGTTTCTCTGCTAATTAGAAGTGCTACTCCTCTACCTTACACTTGCCCTACTCTATCCTGTCTGTGGATATCAAAGCTGTTCGCTGTTCGCGATAGTCTGTGGTATGTGGTGGCTTTCACTCAACCATGCTTCCGGGACAGCAATAACTGCAGATTTGTGTTCCTCGGAAGTGACCTCTAGTTCTGTCCAATTATTCCGGATGCTGCTCGCATTCGCGCATGGCATAACTAACTTTGGGGGAATTGCGTTTTTTAAGCCCCCTACTCTTGCTTTTGTCTCTGGGGCAGCGTCCGAGCTGTGACCCCGTTTTCTGCTAGGTCTGTTTGGGCCATTGTCCTACGCCTCGTAAGTTCGGAGTCCGTAGGTTCCCCCATGGATACCCACCGCAGTGGTGTCGAAGTTCGACCAATGACCTTTTCATCCTCAGTTACCGACCTGCTCGGA